ACTATGAAAACAGGGATCATTCTGGGACTGCACTTCGGAGGTTAGGAAAAAGGCAATATTCTTCAACTCAGACACGGAAGACATTGTTTTACCTGCGCGAGTCATCACTAGTTTATGATTTGTTGTTCCTGTGTTTCATGAAATACTTATTTCCAACTAATTTGTAGAAGGCGAGGTGATGTTATGACTTACAACTGAGTGATTTGTGCTCATACATGCCTATGGCCGAATTGATTGATCGATCTATATCGGTTGATCGATTGACTGACTATTTGAATTCTGGCTTGACGGCATTCGGATGTACTGCGACGTATGAGCCGGACTCGGCCTGTCTGTCTGCCTGCCTTCCTACACGCTGATCGTTCCTGCTTGTTCTCCGGTTTGTGTACCGGCTACATATTTGCTGTCTATAATAAACGTACTACTTAATTCGTTGTGTGCCCAGTTGCCTACTACATTTGGGATACAACAACGGTTCACCATGCAACTACTCGCCAGAGAGTGCCATTCTAGTTATCATGATTTGTCATTTTTCCTAAAACCGTTTCAGATTTTAAAAGAAAATTGAAACGTCGAAAAATTGGATTAACACAGTACGAGCATAAAATGCGTTGTTTTTGTACTATGCATTGTGACGACAGTCAATCGAACGCAAACACTCACGGAAACCGAACGCTTTTTCTGCTCCCGGTTTCGCTTTTCTCTAGGGCATTTTCGATCAACTACCCCGCCCTCCGTAACGCACTCCAACAAGGCGAGAAATGCCCCGGGTTTCTGCAATCCATTTTCGCGTATTTCTTTGGTTCAACACGCATTGACCGCACTCAAACTCTTCTGGCTTCCGATCCGGTTGCGTGCCGCAGTGATAAAGTCAACGGTCAGCAAAATCTGTTAATAACTGCTGAGTTCAGGTCGCTGGGCTTTGTTTAAACAAAAGGTCTTAGAATAAAAGAAACTGAACATTGGGTCCGCATCTATAACCACAGCTCGGTTTATAAGGATTTAACAGTTTGGGAACTCATTCCAGTCTAGTACGATTATCTGGCCATAATGCGTGGACAAACACATCTTAATTTTTGTCACCTCCCGTCTGGAGATCAAACATGGAATCGGGCACATTATCTACTTGACATAACTAATGATTTCGCGGCCTGTAACCTATTTAATTTATCTATTTATTATAGACAAAGAGAATGAATCACCGAAAACTGGTCCTTTTATTTTTAATGTTAATAATAATAACATAGCGAAGTCAGTAGAGTATTGTATTCACCGACGTTTCGGTTTCCGTTATTAACCATTCCCAAGGCAGGTTTTACCATCAAATGACTCCGATGGAAGGCTCTCAAATGAGCGGATGTTTCGTCGTGTGTGGGAATTTGTGTGGTGAGTTGAATGATTCGTTGTATATCATATTAACTCCCAATATCTGATGTGGTCAAGTGGCACCATGAGTTTTGTCGTGATTACCCGTTAGGGATCTGGCTCACGTTTCCGTCGTTTCTGTCGACGCATGCAGAGTGGGTGCGAATGCTGAAAGATTCGGCATACGAGCGTTCAGTGCATGTTCGAAATCCGAGTGGGAGTATTTTTGGGTTGTCGTAGTCTATGATGTGACCTTCGGCTATGGCGTGAAGAACGATCGCTCAATCTCGTTCTAGTTTTGACAGAGTTACTTTGTCCGTAGATCGGTGTTTTTCTTGTCTTAGGTTGCCTACTGGTTTACCCAATGTATTCTGTATGAGCATCCTTTACAACTGATTTTGTAAATGCAGTTAAATTGATCTTGCAATTCGACCGGATCTGTGGCTATTCTCAGATGGCGTCTCCGAGTGTTTTCAACCCGAAAGAATGTGTGTATGTTGAAAACTCTGAGACACTTTGTGACTGCTTCTAAAATGCCCGGCTTATATGTAATGCTAAAGTCGCATGGCGAAACTTTGGTCATTAACACCCACTCAACATGCGTCAACAGAAACGACGGAATCGA